TAAATAAATAAATAAATAAACTGATCACATTTATATGTTCCAGATTAAAGTATTTGTTGCTCTGGCTGCAGATAAAGAAGGACGTGGCCAATATTAGATAACATGAACAGTTTTATTCCTGCATAAAATGGAAAGTTTATAAACCAGGGAAACCAAAGGACGTTTCCAAAGCTGTTGGTCTGACGCGCCTTGTTGCTTTCTACTTTACTGCTCATCCTTTTTAAGGATGTTTTTCTTCACATTTTAACATCATTTATTTAAGTATATTCATTACTTTTTCAGCTCAACACAGACTTTTTTTTTTTACACCCATGCGTAAAAGCCCAGTAGTCCTTTTAACGCACCAACTAGACTAATATCCACATAGTTTATTTAAGTAGACTTAAAGCATTTGCCATTTGATGCTGTTGCTTCATAGGTTCATAATATTGATTTCTTTAAATCATGTCAAGACAGTCAAAAAACAATTTTACTAGATTGGACTCCGTTAAATAAGCTAAAACAGCGCATTTCTTACCTTTCTCTTTGAGGGATTGGTCTTAACAGTTGATATGAAGTCTTCTGAAAAATAAATTAAAAAGTATAAAGATATCCTGGGTAAAAATCACGGCACTTTCTTGTGTATTCCTCCCTGGCGCGCAACCCCGCAATTCCACTAAGCAGTTTTTCTTTTCTTTTTTTTAATTGGTGAAGCTGTCCGGTGGAGCCGCGGTGCGCAGAGGGACGCAGAGAGGGAGGGTGGAGGTGGGGTGGAGATGAATGGGAGTGGTGGGTTTATTGGGAGCTGTCAGGGGGAGTAGATGGTGGATGAATGTCTTCCAGGGCAGGACGAAAATAGCACCTAATAGAGAGTGGCGTGACGCACTGCCTCTCTGGAAAATCTTTCCAATATCATCTTGGCTGTGGTTGAAAAACCTTTACTTTGCTGCGTTACATCTCAGGCCTGATTAACGATGTTGCGCAGCTGGTTCCTGTTTTTATCCCCACATGCAATTTATTAACACTGGTCTCACAAAGAGAAGACTTTGATTTAAGTTTATTCCCCACTTTCCCCACTGGTTATTACATTGAACAGGGGCGGTCCCAGACCAGATTTACCACGGGGAGCACTGCTTTTAAATTGGGGCACAGAGCAAAAGAATCAAAAAAGAAACATCAACAATGAATAAATAAAAAAACAAATAAAAAAACAGGACTTATGCTTATTGTTCAATACAATAAATGAGCCATAGAGTTACTTGTGGCTCTGGAGCTGCAGGTTGCAATACCCTGATCAGGAAAACGAACTGCTAAAGCCAAAAGTGCAACACCTTCATTTTGAGTCACCATGAAGACAGTGAAGGTAAACAGAAATGAAAATGTTTCAAGGGACCAATCTGTGATGGTTTTAGTTAGTGTTATGTCTTCAGCAAAGGGGCCATAATGGGGCCAGTTCTGCAGGGGCACTTGGGCTGCTGTCTAGAACCGGGGTGTTAATTTTTAAAGCAGCAACACTGACTAGAAAAATCTTTTTGAGAAAACTACAGGGAATTATTGATGCCAAAATCTTAAGTCAAGTAGATTGTCCGAAGCCCATAACATTACCAATGACCCCTCACACCCCCACTATGGACTGTTCTCCCTGCATTCCTCTGGGATGAGGCTTCGTAGCATTCGATGCAGGTCCAGCAGATTCCAAAACAGCTTCTTTCCCACTGCCATCAGACATCTGAACCGTTGAGAAAACTCTAAATCATATTACAAACTCTGCATCACACTGATAACACCAAACCAACATTCTGTATATTTGCACCATATATAAATGCTCTGAGCTTCCATATCAATCCGTTTTTTGCACCATATTTTTTTCTCCCACACTATTTATATTTGATCACTGCTGCCCTTTATGTAATGGAAATGTCCATTTACTGTCTGCAAAGCTGTACTAAATGAAAATTTGTTTTGTATACACTCTGTATACAAAATGACAATAAAAGTTGTCTAAGTTAAACGCTTTGACCCAAGTCAAAATATACACATTAAAAGTCAAAAAGTGCAATTTCCACATCAACCTCAGTTCAAGTTCATACAGCCTCAAGCCATCAATAAGTGTCAAGTCATGACATCAAAGTTCTATGTCAGGTATTAAGAAATGCAACCCCCAACCTAAGAAACATACATCCCATATCAACACATGCAGTCCCAAGTGATGCAAACCATCCTAAGGCAAGGCATGCAAAGGGCAAGCTGCCTAACTCTGTTGACTGGACTGAAATGGCTTTTTTTTTGGAAAGGATCTTTAGATGCTGTGCTGTAAATTAGCACCATGCAAAAAACTGAATTTTTGCTTCAAATGAAGGCATACACTTCCCATGTTCAGCTTTGATTCTAAATCACAAGTCAAAACACTCATTTTAAGATTTGCATGTCCCAAGTGAAGATGTATAACCCCTAAGGGATAGAAACAGGATGTTAGGATAGGCCAAATCCAAATCAAGGGATGCAGGTGCTGTAACTGTAACTAAAAAACACATTTCAAATAAATCCAGTCTTCTTTGAAATAATTATTATCCCAAAGGGACACTCGTTATTGCATTTTGTTAAAGATTTGACATGTTTATTAACTGCCTATTAGACGAAACAACTTTTCCAATGTAGCTTTTATATTAGAGTGCAGACTATCTATTTATTGTCAAACTAATTGAAATAAGCTTCTGTTAAAGATTAAATGAAGCATGTTAATTATTATGCTATCAGTTTGTTTAGATGTAGCTAATTTTAATAGTGTAGGGGCAATTGTTTGTCAAACCAAACATCCAATAAAGTTCCAATAAGCCACTATAGGCACTGGGGTCACGT